CTCACTTAGGTGCATTATGGCACAAGTGCTCAGGTCACAATCAAATCGTGGCACTTGGGCTTGTGTTACACTCTTAAAGATATGATAAAGAGTATGATTTGTCATTCCACCTTACCGAAATCACTATGGAGAGAGACACTAAAAATGACAACTTATATTTTAAATAGAGTACCAATTAAAGCAGCTACCAAAATACCTTATGAGCTTTGGACTAGGCAACAACCTAGTCTGAAGCATTTTCATGTGTGGGGTTGTCCAATTGAGGCAAGGCCTTATAAGCCAAATGAAAAGAAATTGGACTCCCGAACAGTAAGTAGTTATTTTATTGGTTATGCTGAAAGATCCCGGGGATATAAATTTTATGATCTCACATTAAAGACAATTTTTGAGATAGGAACTGCTACGTTCTTTGAGGATATTGAGTTTAGGGGGAAGAATAAGATTAAGAACTTTATTTTGGAGGAAGAATCGGTAACAATTTCAGAACCGATTCAAACAGTTACTTTTGATAAAGTAAGTTCGGAACCTCCATAAGACATTGTTAATGAACCCCTTACTCAATATGATTTGGTTGTTCATGAAGAACAAACTCAAGATCCTCAAGAACCTGTGCATCATGAGCCAATAACTTTGCGGAGATCCACTAGAGAAAGAAGAAGTGTTATTTCAGATGATTATATGGTATTTCTTTAAGAACATGAGGAAAACAATGATATAATGGAAGATGACCCAATTAACTTCAGTCAAACTATGCAAGGTTCTAACTCGCAAAAGTGGATTGAAGCAATGAAGGAGGAGTATAAGTCTATGCAAGACAACAAGGTTTGGGAACTTGTCTCATTACCAGAAGGTATGAAACTCATTGGTTGCAAGTGGATATTTAAGACCAAACGAGATTCTAAAGGTAATGTGGAAAGGTATAAGGTTCGTCTGGTAGCTAAGGGCTATACCCAAAAGGAAGGGATTGACTTTAAAGAGACTTTCTCTCCAATTTCATTGAAAGACTCTTTTAGGACAATCATGGCTTTTGTAGCACATTATGATTTGGAGCTTCATCAAATGGATGTCAAGACGGTGTTTCTCAATGGCAACATTGATGAGACGATTTATATGGTACAACCAGAAAATTTTGTGTAAGGAGATTCGAAGAATATGGTTTGCAAATTGACAAAACCCATTTATGGACTAAAACAAGCATCTCGTCAATGGTACTATAAATTTCATCAAGTAATTATCTCATTTGGCTTCGAGATGAATATTGTTGATGATTGTGTATATCACAAGTTTAAGGGGAGTAAGTATATTTTCCTGATCTTGTATGTTGATGACATTCTACTTACCATTAATGATATAGGCATATTGCACGAAACCAAGAAATTTTTATCAAAGAATTTCGAAATGAAAGATCTTGGTGATGCGTCTTTTCTATTAGGAATTTAGATACACCGAGATCAATGTCGGGGTATTTTAGGATTATCACAAAGGAGCTATATCGAAAAAATTCTTAAAAGATTTGACATGCATGAATGTAAATCTGGGGATACTCCAGTTGCTAAGAGAGACAAGTTTAGTCTCAATCAGTGCCCAAAGGGGAATTTGGAAATTGAGGAAATGCAAAAGATTCCCTATGCATCATCTGTAGGGAGTTTGATGTATGCCCAAGTATGTACGCGTCCAGACATAGCATACATAATTGGAGTTCTAGGCAGATATTTAAGTAATCCAGGAATGGACCATTGGAAAGCAGAAAAAAGGATCATAAGATATTTAAAGAGAACAAAAGATTATATGCTCACATACAGGAGGTCAGACCAGTTGGAGATCGCTGGGTTTTCTGACTTAGATTTTGTAGGATGTCAAGAATTTATAGCATGCTATGAGACATCAAATCATGAAATATGGCTGAGAAGTTTTGTCACAGGGCTGCAAATTGTGAAAGGCATTGAAAGACCACTTAAGTTATATTGTGACAATAAATCAGCTGTATTGTTAAGGAAAGAGTACAAAGTGGACAAATTTCCATAGAACACTTAAGGACAAACTCCATGATAGCATATAATCTAACTAAAGGACTTCCGCCCAAGGTCTTTCATGAGCATGTTGCTCACATGGGTGTTTTACAGTTTGAGGAATTTGTGGTTTAGTGGGAGTTAGTCACTTTCATATATTTTATGTTCTATGTTTAATTTCATATATGTATACATTGATTTTTGGACATATTTGGTTATCTATAGATATGCAGTTTTTTCGTTCATTCATTATATTTTGTACATTAAGGATATTATATCGATCTCGATAAGTTAAAGTTTGGACCAATTGAAAATAGACGTGTACAGATCACCTTCACGTAATTTTTCATGCTACACATTTCATGATGAATCCATGTCATTTGGTTATGTTAGGATGAATAATCATTGTTGGTTTTAGTTGCGATGATGCAATGAAAAGCTGGTTTGGTTCTATATCCTGATATGATCAATGGACAGGACTTTTGGAATATGCTAAAGGAATATAATGTCAATTTTGAGTTCATAAAGTCTAACACATTTGTAAGGTTGCAAGGACATATATATTTGTGACCAGTGGGAGATTGTTGGCAAAATTTGGGTCATGTATATATATGATACATAATTTAAATGTGTTAGGGTCATTATTTATTAAGTCAAATAATAAAGTGATCTAATTAAATTAAAGTTTTGGCTAAAGGCATATGTCATGAAAATAAAATTGTGTAGAGACCATTGAACAAGTTCTAATTTGATGAGGGGTCAAATTGGAAATACTAAAACTTAAGTAATTAACTTAATTCTGGTTATTTAAGGGGTCATGGTCCCCTTCTAGGAGCACACACACAGAACGTAAGTATCAGTCCCGTTCCTTTCTTTCTATCCCCATCAAGAGAGAAAATCAAGAGGAAAATACAGGTGCTCTTCAGGTGGAAGACCATAAGATCAATATAGTGTTTTACAAAAACATTATCATTATGACTAATTCAGGTACGCTTTCACATTCAGTTTACAGCATGTTTATCAGTATGAAATTACATTTATGTTTGATCGTTAGAATAAAAAATCAGGATTATTATTATTATTATAATTATTAGTTTCCCAAACGTATGTCCCAAAAAAAATGAAGCATTTCATTCAGGTCCTCAGTCGTGATAATGTTGAGGCTTTGGAGGGATTTGATTGAGTAGAAACTAAAAGATCAGAATTATATAAAGAAAAGTTTCTATTAATAAGAGAACAAATGTTTCTCTCTCGGGTCTTCTTCAAAGAGATTTAAACTCTCACATTAATATGGATATCTTTCTAATTTTCAAGGTAAAATCTCTCTCAACATTGTTCTTCAAGATAGACAACATTTTTTATTTCTCTAATTTTCACAAAGCGTAACTGAGTCTCAGACTAACTAATTATTCTAACTAAATCATAGGCACACTAGCAAATAAGAAAGAGGGTGAGGCAATCACAGCAAGTTGGAGATGGAATGAGGGAAGAGAGACTAATCTGTGATTTAGTCATTGCAAATAATAGTCCTAATGCCAATGAGGAACCACTTTATGACTTATTTATTTATTTATTTTTTACTAGGAGACTATATTATTGGCAACAACTCTGAGGAACATGTACTTGATTTTTTTTTAATTAGAAATCTGATATTTTTTTTAAAGTTTAAACAAACGCATTAAAAATTTTAAAAATACTATTTTATAATAGAATTTCATAAAAAAGTAAACATTTTTAAGATATATTGTTTTCTTAATGGTCAACAACTTTAAATTACATCAAAATAAACAATTTTAGGATTAGAAATACAACAAAATTAACATTTCATTTTTTTTTAAGTTAAATTTTTATTAAATTCTTATTCATTTTGATTAGATTTCATTCATTTTTACTAGTGTAGATACATTATGATACCACGACATGTCCAATATAATGGCAGGGTTGCTAATATGGAAAATAACATTCTAAATTAAGTGAGCACTATCTACGGTTGCAGCAGTATAACCTAATTAAGAAGGAATTCCATAATAATCTCTTGGTGTTTTATGGTACTAATGAGAGGGAGAATTTTAATAATAAGGAAATTTTTAATGATAAAATATAGGTGAAATATATAAGAGAATATAATATTATATTAAATTATAAGGTTATTTCATTTATTAGATTATTAGTTTGTATAATTTTTTAATAATTTTTTTTAAATATGATTTTTTTTCATATTAATACAACATCCCATCAAGCGAAAAATAAATCATATTCTTAATAATAAAAATTAATAATAAGAAGATGAATATAAGTCAATTATGAAAAAGAATATGACATTAACTTGAGTCTGTTTTTTAAAATCAAACTTGAATTCTCGTGATTTTCCTCGTATATCCTCCTATAATATTGAAAAAATGAATGCAATATTTTCAGGTTTCAGAGACATCCTTCTGCAAATGGTATTTCTTTTAGCTTTTATTCTTTTCGATTATCTTGAGAAGGAAAAACGGATGTTATTACCCTATGGTGCGTTAACAGGAAGCCTTATCACCTATGTTTCATATGCAAATACAATAGCACAAGATGGATAATTGTCACTACTCTTCTAAACCAAATAAACTTTTATTTCTTCAAATCTATATTGCAGTACATGGTACACTGACTTGCCCTCACCTGTTTTGGAAGCTATTCAGAAGTTAAGCAATTTGACATATTCACATTAGTTATAACCTTATAGGTCTATGAAGCCTCCACAAGATGAGTCATGCATGCCTTGGTAAAATGCTATTCAGAGTACAAAGTAGCATCCATAAACTTTCATTCATAACATTTCAAACGATATTATTTTCAACCTAGCAAGCTGGCACCATTACATCAGCATAACTTGATGTTCATAAGCAAAGGGATTTCTATGATATTGTGTAAAACAGAAAGGAAAAGATTATATAATTATTCACAAAATCACATTATATATCCTATATGCTTGTAGATTATTAAGAAACAATCTCAAAGACATGAAGAGACCCAGCTAGCATCAACAGCATCGATGATCTTTTCATGTAATGTGGCTCCAGAACAGGCAACTATACCACGATCAAGGCTTTCTAAGTTTAAACCTTTTGAGAAGTCCAGGGGATACCCCCTAGCATCTGTTACCATGCCTCCAGCCTCTTGTATGATGATGGCACCAGCTGCATGATCCCATATTTTTTCCTTGTTACCAGCACTCGCAAACTTCATGAAAACCTCAGCATCCCCACAAGCTATTGCCGCATATTTCATTGTGTTGTGTACTCTTAGTGGCTGATTACTGCATATAAATGATGAATAATAGTTACCTTATAAACTATGCTAGAAATTTATGGTGACCTTTGTCAAATGATATTTTAGATATTTAATATGTTTTCATAGAGATAAATGTGAAAGTAACTAGTCATTAAATAAGGAATGTGCAACTAAACACAACAGTTTTCAGCTTGCTATCTTATGCTAAGAACCTCTTTATCCCTGCAGTGTTAAACTAGCAAAAAGGAAATCCAAGCGCAGAAAAAGTTGAATGCATTTTTATAAATCCTACCTATGCTTGAATGTCTAGATACACTACAGTCAGAAGCTAAAAAGTTTAAAGGCAGAGAGGGTGACTGATACTGAAGTAGCATGAAATAAAAAAGCACCTGAGACCAACACTCTGAGCCAATCCCTGAGTGAAAGAATGGCGTGAATTGGCCTTCTCAATTAGTTGACAGAAAGTGGCCAATGCTAGGTTGTCAACGGAAGACACAGAAACTTGTTTTGCATGGTTTGGCCACACATACTTCTTATTGACATGGAGCAATGGTTGGATCCAAGCTTTCCCACTACCCCTTTGAGCATAAATAATAGAACCTTTATCCCAAGTTTCAGAGGTTGGAGGAGTCAACATAGATATCATCCTTTGATAGCTGTGATGATAACTAAACCAGTCCTTTCTCACAGGGTAGTTAGGACAGCCAAGAACTCCAAGCACCACTTCTCCATCCTCTATGAGTGATAAAGATACAGCATATTGATCACCACATGCAGACCCCATTTTTCCATCAAGAGGGCCAAGTGCCCAAAATCTTCCTGAAGGGCTTCCAACTGAGTTGCTGCGGCTAATGATTTCAAGAACCTCTGAAGTTCCGAGAGCTGATTTTGGCTCCTCAACCCCAAATCGAGGTGCTTCAGCTAGACATTCATTCACAGTTTTAACCACAGATTCCAACAGTTCTGATGTATTAGTTTTGGATAGTGTCTGAACATCCTTTTCAGTTACAATCGAGACATTTTCACTCCCTAAACTCTCAGATAATATCCAGCTGACAATTGTGTTGACACTCCAACCTGTAACACATATAATGAATAGTACAATTCTGTAGCTGCCACGAATAGATTGATCAATCGCGCTTAAAAAAATGTTTTATTCACAAATTCCGGAGACTACTAAGAATTAACCATTACGTGACCAAAGTTGAAAGGAAATATAATGAAACGGGAACAGCGTAAATATATTTCATTATGGCTCTATATCAAAGTCAGAATAAATAACCTAAGATTAAGCTTACATATACATTTTACACAGGGTAGTATATGATTTAAATTTGTTATGGAGATCATGCATAAGAAATTTCCAGTTTGGACTGAAACAAGTTTCAACATAACTTTCACAGCAGCACCTAAAATTGGAGATGTAAAATGAACACGGGAAAAGTATAACCACAAATTGACAATTTACTTCAATTGTTCAATTATTTTGGATAATTTTACATCTTTCTAAAGCTGAAAAGGCTAGTTCAGCAATTCATGAAGCCACCTATGCATGAAAAGCAACTAAAAACATAGCGTTTGCTAAGACTAGGACTAAGACCTATAGCCTCTCTTTGTTAGTTCAGCCAACTCTTTCTGATGTTGATATATTTCTTTACTTCTTCACGTGCAGGGAAAGAGAACAGTGAACGACAAAAGAAAAATCTCATATTTATGAATCTGAAGAATGAAATTTACGCTTAGTAGATCTTGAGGTAAACAACCGAATTCAGTCAAATAAGTTTGCTTGTGGAACAGAGCAAGGCTATTACTATAGTCCAAGAAAAAGAGTTTGAAAGCCAGCTTGGTTATTCACCAAACCATTTTTTCCTTTTTTTAGATCGAATCACGAGTTTATGGAAATCCGTGTAACCCCAAATTTCATATTCACTTTTCTTACTAATATTTTCTATTTGACTTCAAAAGCATTTTAGAGTGTAAGTATTCATTTTGATAATTATGTCCTTTGTGTATCAGACAATGTTTGTATTCCACTCTTGTCATAATTGGATTTCTGAGTACAGAGGCAAATCTACTAACCGAAGTACGTAATAATAATGTAATACATATTTCGTCTTCTACTGTGTATTTGTGTGAACACATGATAAGAAATATTAAATACATGAGCACTGATATTTAATATCTTGTTTTTATCTCTGTTGCATGTTTAAATTTACAGTGCCGATAAAGTTGTTTTTATATTTTTACAAACTAAGTCTTTTTTTTTTTTTCTGTTACGTGTTTCTCTTCATTTATTGAGCAAAGTCTAACTGTGTTCGTGATTAAATGATTCTTGTATGAACTAACAGGTTTTTACTACTGTGTATCAAACATAAACTTTTTGCTACATTAATTGTATACATGAATGACAACAGTTTTACATACAAATTTCAAAGTCACAAGTGTATCAAAAGTTGAAAATCGAGTATTGTTTACAAAACTTCACAATCACAAGACTTACCTGAGATTATGTAATGATGATGGTTTGAACTTTGAAGTTAGAACGTAAAGAATTTGGTCTAGAATTTGTGCGTATATGTAAAACAAAAAGTCACAAATTACAAAGATGAAATAAGAAGATTCACCTGCAACTGTGAGCGGTGAATTGTGATGGTTGATCCGAGAATCCGAAATCCAAGTGTCTTGCAGTTTCTGACAGAGGAAGCATGACATCTGAACTGCTCTAACAGCAGCATCTAACTCTCTGCAATATTCCTCTTGATCTGAGACAAGATCAGATATTTGTCGGTCAGAAGAAAAACTTTGGTTAATTTTTGACACAGAAGCAATGTGGGTAGGGAGATTGATGGGGGATTTATGCAGTTGAGACATGAAGCAGGAACCTGTTGTTTCTATGTTGCTACATGTGTAGTTTTCACTTCTCTTCCCAAGTCCTAAGATATGTGGCATGTTTGCACCCAAAGTGGAACAATGCAAAGGCATGTCAAGTGCACAATTTGGCCTTTCTTAATTTGGTTATTTGGTGGTTACTAGATATATTGGAAAGGCTTATCAAATTAATTATGGAATAACATTGATCTGCCCACGAGACTATTTATAGGACAATTTTACAAGCAAAAGCAAAGTTCACATCTTTTTGCATCGAGATGGGATCTTCTGTGTTGATAGATGATGTGGTATTAAACAAGGATAAAGGACAAAACACAAAAAAGAAGAGAAACGACAATGGCTCAAGTCATAAACCTATCATTTGTGAAGAAGACTAATCTTTGTTATTCCATGTACGTGATAAGGAATTTAATTAATCTCACAACTCATGGCGCGTAAGGATTTGCTTTCATTAATGTGAAGGATTTGGATAATATGCAAGAGGTTGTAGGATTTCTTGAGTTTTCTACAATTTAGTGTAAATAAAGTTTTCACATTTTATCAAAAAATATAAATTAATAACTATGAATGTAAATCCACGTGTTTTAGGTTGTAAAAGGTTTATTTTTCTACTAATTTTAATGTCTAAGGTGAACTAAATCTCAATAACTATTTAAAAAAAATTAATTATATAGATTTATGTGATTTTTATTTTGTTGTAAAGAGTATATTAATGCTTGAAGAATAAGAGTATATTTAAAAGTACGTAAATAAATACTGAGTATGTTAATTTTTCCAAGAACATTGATGAGTACAAAACAAGAAGAAGAAACTGTCAACTATTTAGCAACGATTTATTGAGAAAATAAAAAATTCAATTTCTCTTATTTACATACTTTAAGCTTTAAGAGTTAAAGCATGTTTACTGTTAAAAAAAATTATTGTTTTATTTATTCATCATCGCTATAAAGTCTAAAAAATTTAAATACTCTTTTTTTTTAAATATCTCTCTAAAATTTAAACATATTTATTATTTATTAAAATGTAAGTATAATATTATATTATATTTAGTAATAACGATATATGAAAATTTAAGTAGAAAACTCTCTTAACCTAAGCTTAAAATCTAGTCAAAACTACTTTTAATAGTAAAAATTACTTGTTAAAATCATCGTTCAGATCAATATTTTTATTTTTATTATTTCTAAAAAAAGTTGTAAAAATATATATCTAAATTTTAGACAGACGAAAACAAAAATTAGGATATATTTAGTATTTTATATGGATGCATGACAGATTTTAACCTATTTAATATATCTCACAAAATTAATTTAATAAAAATAAAAGTAAAAAATATATATTTGAAAACTTTCAAAATCTTAATATTTATCTTAAACATTTTTAATCAAATAATAATCACTAATTTTTTATAGAAAAAAAAAACTTGTGACTAATGTAGTTTTTTAAAGTCACCTATTAATTTACGTAAGATTTCAATTTATCTTGATTCTATGTATTAAGTAAAAAAAAATTAATAATCTTGATAATCATAATTTTTTGTCTAATTTAGTGAAAGACTAATTTTGATCTAATTCAAAATAAAAAATATTAATATATTTATATAAAAAATTAATTCAAAAATTTATTTTTAAATAAAAATAAAAAGTAAACAAATATTTTTAAAATTTAAGTTATATTAAAAACTTAAATTTTATTATATATATATATATATATATATATATATATAAAGAGAATATATCCTTTCATTCTTAAAATAAGAATCAAAGATTTCCTCTTCATTTCTTAATAATTTAATATATAAAATAATAATAATAATAATAAATGGATATTAATCTTTTTTTAATAATATGGAAAAAAGATGTAAGAAAAAAAATAGAGTAAAAAAATATTTTTGTTTGTTTGAGAGGAAAATATTTGTTTAAATACAAAATTATTCATATAATTATTAATTATTGTTTTAATAATATCTATTTATATAATAATATATACTTTAGTATAAAATTATGAAATATTTTTATTATAAAATTATATTTTTTTTATAAAACTATTTGAGATTAAATAATATCATATTAAAAAATATATTAAATTATTCATTTAATTTTTTTATTTTTATGATTTTTTATTAAAATTATTATATATATATATATATATATATATATATATAAATATATTAAAATTATAAACATAAAAATTAATAATATAAATGAGAATAATTTTATACATTAACATGTTTCTTCTACTTTCTATTATTTTCGGTACCTATGAGTAAAGTAAATATGTCCTATCGTAGACAGTGACATATTTTTTGTCATTGAAAAAAAAGACTTATTTATGTTATTTTTTAATTACAGTAAATATGTCCTATCGTGGAGAGTGACATATTTTTTTGTCCTTTCTCTTTCTATTGGAAAAAAAAAACTTATTCATGTTATTTTTTAATCACAGTAAATATGTCTTATTGGAGAGTGACATATTTAAAAAAAAAATAAACTTATTTAAGTTAAATCTATTTTAACTTTTCTTTATTTTATGTTTTCCATTTTGACCTATATAAAAAATTTCTATCGTACCTTTTTATGTCAAAGAGTTTTTTTAGTAGTTTAAAATTCTTAAAATTAACTCTAATATTATATTAAAAATAAAGATACTCAACTTAATTCTATAAAATAAAATATTTATTTATATATATTATAATATTATTAAATTTCTAATCTGCCTAAATTTTCAATACAGATTTTTTTAACATATATCCCTCACCTTAAAATAATCTTTCATCACATTTACCACAACAATAATAAATAAATAAACAAAACCCAAAATAAAATTCATTGAGAAAATCATTATAAGGTTCGAAGATAAAAATATTGAAAATGTAAATTGTTTTCTAAAGTGACGACAAAACCTTCAATCTTCAATATCCTTATCGCCACACCTTGAAATCCCCTAAAAAGGATGGAAAAGATCTTCGAAATTGTCCAAAATATAAGAATACTCCAAAATTCATAAATGGAGAATAATGGTGAAATATGTGTGACGTAACAAGAGGGTCACGACGGAATAATATACACTAAAAAGCTCATTGACACAATTAACGAGGGAGTTCAAAATTAGTAACTGATTACTGATTGGTTAAGATAGTAAGAAAAAATGAATAAAAAGTTAAGAACCTTAGAAGTTGTGAGTGGCATGTTTTTAGTGTAGGATGAAAGATGATGACGTGTGTAACGCACAAAGGATGATACCCAAATTAATAAGATAAAAAGAGTGTGAAAGATTAAAGTTGGTTGGATTTATGAGGTAAACTTGACTCATGTTTGAATTATTAGACTCTCTAATACTTAATAATACTATGTATAGCAGTGTATTGTGTAAGATTGGAGTCATAATGAGCTCATCCCATATTAAAAAACAAACAAACATATATTCCCAATCTACTTTTATAATTCATAACTTCAATCATATCTTCATCTTATTTATCACCCTATCTTTAGCCGCAACCAAAAATACACCAATGAGTGAGGAGTTGGGTCAATTATTGTGGCTCTTCACAAATTGACAATAGAGAGAAACTTACGAAGCCATGAGTATATCGAAAAGCAAAACCAGGATTTCTCTTCACCACTTTTGTTTATGGTTGCCGCACGAGGTACCACGTTGTGAAATTCATGTTTATGATTTCAGACTTTGTCGCGCATATTTCGAAGATGAACAAAATTAATTCATTATAATTCAAATAAAACTGTAACTTGATTTAAACACCATTGCTGATTGGTTGTTGCGTGCAGAAATAAGGGTGTGAAAAGGAAGAAAGAGAAGGCGCATCTGCTACCGAAAGCTAAGAAAACTCGTTTGATGTTGCCATGCATACACATAATTGCATTGTGTGAGTCTGAACACACAGAAAAGTATGAAAAAATAACCCAAAAAAGTGCCATGGAGTGTTGGTCCTTTGTGTTGTGTGGCTTATAGCAACATTGATGTGAAAACTTTCTTGTTTCTCGCATGACGTTAAGCATATGGAAGTATGATATCATATTATCTTCATTCATGAACTCTTTAGCATATTTATTGGAAATTACTACACCCACAAAACTCAAGATGTATTTTTCAGATTGAGTTTAATCATATATTAGGAATAGTTATGTAGGCAAAATTTGAGTAATGTATATATATGATACATAATTTAAATGTGTTAAGGTCATTCTTTATTAAGCCAAATAATAAAGTGATCTGACTAAATTAAAGTTTTGGTTAAAGACATATGTCATGAAAACAAAATTGTGTAGAGACTATTGAGCAATTTCTAATTTGATGAGGGGCCAAATTGGAAATACTAAAACTTAAAAATTAACCTAATTCTGGTTATTTTAAAGGGTCGTGGTGCCATTCTGGGAGCACATAGACAGAACGTAAGTTTCTTTCCTGTTCCTTTCTTTCTATCCCCATCAAGAGAGAAAATCAAGAGGGAAATACATGTGTTCTTCAGGTGGAAGACCATAAGATCAATACAGTGTTCTACAAAGACATCATCATTATGGCTAATTCAGGTACGTTTTCGCATTTAGTTTACAGCATGTTTATCAGTATGGGATTATGTTTATGTTTGATCGTTAGAATCAAAATCAGGATTATTATTGTTTTTCTAATAATTGGTATCAGAGCCGCTCATATTTGATTCATGTCTGTTTAATTTATAGAACCCTAATTATGAAAATTAGGATTAATTTTGTTTTAAACAATTCAAATTACCCAATTTTATGAACCCTAAGTAGAGGATAATCTCTAATTTTTGTGAACCCTAAAATTTAAATTTGGGGGTAACATCCCCAATCTGATTCTGCTTGCTGATGGAACCGTGGAGGAAGCTATGGATTCTTCTTCTTTTTCGTTTTTCTCTTTTGTTTCAGTTTAAGTTTCAAGTTTTACTGAGAAAGAAACCGTGTTTCAAATTTCAATTTTTTTTTTGTATTGGGTTATCTGTTCTTTTTTGAATATTTTATTTTTATTTAATTTTATGGGTTTGGAATTGGGAGTGGTGTTTGGGGAATTCCCAACATAGAGGATCTTAGGCAACTGGTGAATGTTTCCACATGTGTGACTGTTATTATTTTATTGCCTCTATCCCCTAGAAATTTAAGGAAAATTTGATGTTAAATTAGGGTTTGAGTGATTACTGTTTAATTCTCTTTTAGGGTTTAGAGCAGTATGCTAAAGAGACTCAGAATTATCTCTGTTTCATCCCTAGTGTGATTTTAGGGAGATGTTCATCCTTAGTAGAATTCTAATGAGGTGATTCTCTTTTGAATTAGTTTGCAAATATTAAATATTTGGTTTTGTTATATAAATAAATTATTCAATTTTTGGTAGTTTAATATTTTTTTTGTGAGCAAATTGAGTCAAGAAGTCACCAAAGTAACTTCTCTTGAATTGGGCAGTTCATGAAAAATATTGAATATTAGTGTTTGTGTATATTCATGCGAGTATTAGTCGGCCCAAAGGAAGATTAATATTTGGTCGAATTGCATACACACTTGTAATTATAAACATGTGATAATTATAAAGATTTGCTTTGTCGATGATAAATCAATCCAAAGACTGGTTTGTTGTTGGACGTGCTTTATTGTCAATGTTTGATTATTACAACAAGATACCTCTAGCAGTTAATATTACTTGTCCAAAGACTTGATATTGATGGTGCATTGGGTGTCTTGAGATGTGTTAAACCACTATTTGAATATATATTATTTATTTTTTTATATAATGTGAGCATAATTAATTTATTTCTCGTGTTCTAAATTCAGATACAATTGCTTCTGTATCTGCCAATTTAAATTTTGTTCCGGTCCTCAATGGAACAAATTTTAAGGATTGGAAAAAGAACATTGATATTGTTCTTGGTTGCATGGATATGGATCTTGCGTTAAGGACTGAGCAACCCTCTACTCCTACGGATTCAAGTACCTCTGAACGGAAAAGAGATTAAGAGAAGTGGGATCGCTCAAATTGCATGAGTCTAATGATCATTAAGCGCGACATCCTGGAGGTGTTTAGGGGCACTGTTTCTGAAAACATCACAAGTGCCAAAGAATTTCTTGTTGAAATTGAGCAGCGCTTTGCAAAAAGCGATAAGGCGGAGGCAAACACTCTTCTTCAGAACTTGATCTCCATGAAATATCAAGGCAAAGGAAATATCATGGAGTACATTATGAGCATGTCTAATATTGTTTTTAAACTCAAGGCACTAAAGTTTGAACTCTCAGAAGACTTGCTCATTCATTTGGTGTTGATTTCTCTTCCTGTAACGTTTAATCAATTTAAGGTATCTTACAACTGTCAGAAGGATAAATGGTCTCTTAATGAGCTCATTTCACATTGCGTACAAGAAGAGGAAAGACTAAAGCAAGACAAGACAGAAAGTGCTCATTTTGCAAGCACCTCCAAGGCTAAGGGCAAAAGAAAGAGATCAGAGGATCTCGAGAAAGAAGCTGCTAAGGATCCAGAACAAAAGAAACAAACTCAAGAAAACAAATGTTTCTTTTGCAATAAGACTAGACACATAAAGAAGAAATGTGATAAATATCATGCTTGGCGTGAAAAGAAAGGGTTGCCTAAACTACCGGAAGCCAATTGATTCTGAAAGATGGATTTATGTTGGAGATGGTAAATCGGTAGAGGTGGAAGTTATAGGACATTTTAAATTGTTATCGAGTACTGGTTTTTTATTTGGATTTGAAAGACACTTTTGTTTTTCCGTCATTTAGACGGAATTTGGTTTCAGTTTCTTATTTGGACAAATTATGTTATTTGTGTTCATTTGGAAACAATAAGTTCAGTTTGTCTTTTAATTCAGATATTGTTGGAACTGGTTCACTTTTGATTTATGATAATCAGTATTTACTTGATATTGTGACCACCTATAATGAAACCCTTAATACAGAATCACGTGGTACTAAATGTAAAATTGAAAATACTCATTCAGGTGCATTATGGCACAAGTGCTCAGGTCACAATCAAATCGTGACGTTTGAGCTTGTGTTACACTCTTAAAGATATGATAGAGAGTATGATTTGTCATTCCACCTTACTGGAATCACTTTGGGGAGAGACACTAAATACGACAGCTTATATTCTAAATAGAGTACCAACTAAAGCAGCTACCAAAACACCTTATGAGCTTTGGATTGGGCGACAACTTAGTCTGAAGCATTTCCATGTGTGGGATTGTCCAGCTGAGGCAAGACCTTATAAGTCAAATGAAAAGAAATTGGACTCCCGAACAGTAAGTGGTTATATTATTGGTTATGCTGAAAGATCCAGGGGATATAAATTTTATGATCCCACATTAAAGACAATTTTTGAGACGGGAACTGCTACGTTCTTTGAGAATATTGAGTTTGGGGGAAGAATAAGATTAAGAACTTCATCTTGGAGGAAGAATCGGTAACAATTTCAGAACCGATTCAAATAGTTACTTTTAATAAAATAAGTTCGGAACCTCCACAAGGCATTGTTGATGAACCCCTTACTCAAGATGATTTGGTTGTTCATGAAGAACAAACTCAAGATCCTCAAGAACCTGTGCATCATGAGCTAATAACTTTGCAGAGATCCACTAGAGAAAGAAGAAGTGCTATTTCGGATGATTACATGGTATTTCTTCAGGAACATGAGAAAAATAATGATATAATGGAAGATGACCCAGTTAACTTCCGTCAAGCTATACAAGGTTCTAACTCTCAAAAGTGGATTGAAGCAATAGGATAAGTATAAGTTCATGCAAGACAATAAGGTTATTGGGAACTTGTCCCATTACCAGAAGGTATGAAACTCATTTGGCTTCAAGATGAATATTGTTGATGATTGTATGTATCACAAGTTTAAAGGGAGACAAGTTTAGTCTCAATCAGTGCCCAAAGGGGAATTTGGAAATTGAGGAAATGCAAAAGATTCCCTATGCATCAGCTGTAGGGAGTTTGATGTATGCCCAAGTATGTACGCGTCCAGACATAGCATACATAGTTGGGGTTCTAGGAAGATATTTAAGCAATTTAGGAATAGACCAATGAAAAGTAGCAAAAATGGTCATAAGATATTTAAAGAGAACAAAAGATTATATGCTCACATATAGGAGGTCAGACCAGTTGGAGATCGCTGAGTTTTCTGACTCAGATTTTGTAGGATGTCAAGAATTTGTAACATGCTATGAGGCATCAAATCATGGAATATGGCTGAGAAATTTTGTCACGAGGCTGCAAATTGTGAAAGGCATTGAAAGACCACTTAAGTTATATTGTGACAATAAATCAGCTGTATTGTTAAGGAAAGAGTACAAAGTGGACAGATTTTCATAGAACACTTAAGGACAAACTCCATGATAGCATATCCTCTAACTAAAGGACTTCCGCCCAAGGTCTTTCATGAGCATATTGCTCACATGGGTGTTTTATAGTTTGAGGAATTTGTGGTTTAGTGGGAGTTAGTCACTTTCATATATTTTATGTTCTATGTTTAATTTCATATATGTATACATTAATTTTTGGACATATTTGGTTATCTATAGATATGCGGTTTTTTCGTTCATTCATTACACTTTGTACATTAAGGATATTATATCGATTTCAATAAGTTAAAGTTTAGACCAGTTGAAAATAGACGTATACAGATAACATTCACGTAATTTTTCATGCTACACATTTCATGATGAATCCATGTCATTTGGTTATGTTAGGATGAGTAATCATTGTTGGTTTTAGTTGCGATGATGCAATGAAAAACTGGTTTGGTTCTATATCCTGATATGATTAATGGACAGGACTTTTTGAGTATGTTAAAGGAATATAATGACAATTTTGAGCTCATAAAGTCTAACACATTTGTAAGGTTGTAAGGACATATATATTTGTGACCAGTGGGAGATTGTTGGCAAAATTTGGGTCATGTATAAATATGATACATAATTTAAATGTGTTAGGGTCATTATTTATTAAGCCAAATAATAAAGTGATCTGACTAAATTAAAGTTTTGGCTAAAGACATATGTCATGAAAACAAAATTGTGTGGAGACCATTGAGCAATTTCTAATTTGATGAGGGGCCAAATCGGAAATACTGAAACTTAAGTAATTAACCTAATTCTGGTTATTTTAAGGGGTCGTAGTCCACTTCTGGGAGCACATAGACAGAACATAAGTTTCTTTCCTGTTCCTTTCTTTCTATCTCCATAAAGAGAGAAAATCAAGAGGGAAATACATGTGCTCTTCAGGTGGAAGACCATAAGATCAATACAGTGTTCTACAAAGACATCATCATTATGGCTAATTCAGGTACGCTTTCGCATTTAGTTTACGAGCATGTTTATCAGGTATGAGATTATGTTTATGTTTGATCGTTAGAATCAAAATCAGGATTATTATTATTATTATTATTAAATTTCCAACAAGTTATGCTACATCTTCGGTTAATTATTTGGAGATGTTAAAAAATTTAGAGGTACTCGACAAGTAAAATATAATCAAATTAAAAACAAATTCATTTTGGAATTGATTTTTCTAAAACGTATTCCAGAATATTATTATGGAGGATGTAAGGATGTAATGTATTTCTAAAAAGATGAATTCAAAATATATTTCTTGAACGAAAATGTATTCTAGAATATATTTTTAAAAAATCAATTCTACAAATACATTATCAAAAGTGTGTGATGAAATGTATTTCTAGAATTGATTTTTAAAAAGTACATTTCTGAATGTATTTTTAGAAATATATTTCTAAAATTAATTTTCTGAAAATATATTTTAAAACACATTTTCTGAAATGTATTTTTATAATTAATTTTCTGAAAAATATATTTTGGAATATATTTTTAAAAATTAATTATTGAAATATATTTTACAAATGTATTCTAAAATATATTTTCGATAAATTAATTCCAAATCCAGTAAAATACTCTTCAGAACATGTTTTTCCAAAAAAATTCAATTTTCCTATTTCTTATAATATATAAAGGTAAAATATGATTTAATTTAATTTAATTATAAGGGTTCAGAAAAAAAACAACAGCCTTTTCGTGATGGTTGGAAGGAAGTAGATATGGAGTTTTTTTTATTTTTTATTTTAGTGGTTAAGAAAACCGTTTGAAATTATAAAATTTAAATTAAATATTAAATTCCGTAGTTAAAAAAGCTACCACAAATTTGTTTACCCAATATTGAATTATAACTTAGTAAATTTGTTATTATCAATAGATCACTTAAGAGTTACAGAACATAAAACTTAACTATTCATCAATTTTTAATTATATTTCTTACCAAAAAATATAGCAAAAATAATATAAATTGTATGAAATAATCACCAACAGGTTTAAGTTGTGATGATTAATTAAAATATTATTAGTGTATCATTATTACCATAATAAATATTAATGAGCATTTAATATAATTATGATTTTTTTATAATAAGAGTTGGATACCTAATCCAAATGGTAGATCTCTCAAACAGTATTTGTATAAAACTCGATAATTGGATAAAAGAAAAATCATTAAATAGTTTTATCATTGTAATTAATTCTTATTTGATATGTATTTAATTTGTTAAATTTGTAAAATTAATTTTTAACATTTTATTATATATTATATATACAAATTATTTGGGACCATGTAATAGACTACCTAATTAGGGATTTCTTCCACGGGAAGTCTTTCCATTCATTTGTTCATTCTTCATTCTTGGAAGCCCGTTGCCTCACAAAATTTTCACGTTTGAAACCAAACACACCCTATATCATATTTAAATTTATGTTTTAAATTTATCTTTTGAATTTTTTTTATGTTGACTAAAACAAAATAAAAAAAAATCAATAAAATCTTACTCTTATGTTTTTTCCATAAAATCACACAAAAAAAAAATTATCATCATTTTTATCATGTTTTGGGATGAAGTTTTTTCCATTTTTTTTAACATTTAAGATGTTGCAAATTTATCTTTTTATCAACATTTTGTAATTATTTTCTTCGTGATTGTGTTTTCAGTACAATGCAGTGAGATACGTAAAAGTAATTGATATAAATATTAATACATAGGTTTGTAATAATTTATTTTATTTTAAATTAGTGTAAACCGCCGTCAAAATGTCCATGTATCTGTTGAAAGTCTCACATCGCCTACCTCATATCATTTGGTATGATTTAAATATATGTTAGGCTACTCCACATATTGTCAATTGGTTTTATGTTGGAACCTTAATATGGTATCAGAACTAAAGCCTAACATCTTACCGGTTATTGTCATAGGCCAAAAGTTGCCCTGTAGTTGGGTCAAAAGTACCCTTTGTCTGGGGTGTGTTGAAAGTCCCACATCGCCTACCTCATATCATTTTGTATGTATTTAAATACAGGTTTTGTTGAAGGGGGTGTGTTGAAAGTCCCACATCGCCTACCTCATATCATTTGGTATGTATTTAAATACATGTTAGGCTGTCCCTTTGCCTGGTCCGGCAGGTTATGTATTTAAATACATGTTAGGCTGCCCCTTTGCCTGGTCCGGCAGGTTTCGTTGAAGGGGGTGTGTTGAAAGTCCCACATCGCCTACCTCATATCATTTGGTATGTATTTAAATACATGTTAGGCTACATATTGCCAATTGGTTTATGTTGGAACGTTAACAGTATCTAATTTTTTATATATTTTTTTTAATTTTCTTTTTTTTATGATATTTTTCTTTATTTTTTAATGTATCTTTTAGATGTATCCACGTAAAAAAAAGTTTTAAAAATCATTATATATAATATAAATAGATGTTATATATCATATTATTTTGTTTTGTTTTTAAGTTTTACTTTAATGATAAGTCTTATACCATATATTTTTTATAATTATTTATTTATATTTATATTTTTAAATTTAAAATTTAATTATTATATTATTATTTTTTAAGTTGAGTCAAATCTTAAATTTAATCATAATAAAAAGTTTTTATGAGATATAAATATTATTTTAACAAAATTGATTTATAAGTGAAAGACTATGATCAAAATAATGTCAACATTAGGTTTTTACATTAAAAAATAAGGTTATTTTATTTTATTCAAAACTCTTTAATCACATAATATGATGGAAGATGAGAAAATTCTTTTTCCACTTAAAATATTCTTAAAAGAACAAACGTAAGTTCTCTATTTTATTTTTTGTAAGAATAACGGGCCTGATGTTTATTTTTTATTTCATCGAGCTTCACTAGCTAACCTACTAATAGAACTGATAAGCCCACTATGATTTGGGCCTTCTTATTTATTCAATAGGTCAGTCTAAAATTATTTTAAGATTAACTTTTATATTAATATTCAAATCAATCCACAAAGTATTTACTTTCTATATTCATTCATGTCATTGGTTTTATAACTTCTTATCATTTTAGAAATTAAAAAATAACAAATATTAAAAATTTCTGCACTTGTAAATATGAAACTCTATTTTAGTATTATTTCGCTTTTAATATGATTATAATTGTTAACAAATTATTAATTATTGATGTATATTCCGATAGGCGTTGACAAAAATTGACACTTTTGTATTAAAATTATTTTAGTTTCTTAGTAGGATTCAGTATTATTATTTTTTTTGCGAAAATTTAAAATATAATTAAAGTACAATAACTATTTGTATTTTATAATTTTAAATAATAAACATATAAGCATACAATTTTATAATTCTAATTGTTAAAAGAGAAATCCTCCATACAAAATAGAATGTTTGTATGATTTTTTTTCAAAATTTTTTAAAATATATAAAACAATTAAAATTGAAGTAAAAATGTTTTTTTTTCACAAATTAATACTAACTTATTCATAAATAAAAAATAAAATATTGAAAAATGATATAAAAGAAACTTGATAAAATAATATTTACCAACAAAATGTTTTATTTTTTTTCTCATTTAACCTTTGTTTCGAACCATGGTTTCACTGTTTAAAAAAAATTGGAAAATACAAGGAAAATTTATGTTTCTATTAAGAGATTTAGATCGATTTAATAGAAAGTTAATTGACCCGTATATTTTATATTTCTTTTCCTATACGGTAAAATATATATAGAAAATGATATATCATCATATTTATTATCTATATTATCCTCCAATATATTATCTTATTTTATAAATTTTTACCCCATTTATAATATTATATTTTTTTCTTCTAAATAATTATGTATATATATATATATATATCATTATATTATATATATATATATATATATATATAAGTTTATATTATTTTTTATTAATATATAATCCTTTTTTTATTATGGGTTACTTTTAGTTATTTACATTTTTATTTATATTTAATTTTTATTTTTAATATTAAAGCATGTTAATTATTTTATATATGTATATAATCATGTCAACGGATTATGTTTTCATTATGATTAATTTACTTATAATATAAATTTATATATAAAATACTTGAATCATAAAATTTTGAAATGATATAATTAAATAAATGAATTTGTATAATAGTATAAATAATGGATTATATAGATATGAATAATTGATTATATTAAAAAATATTATTATATATAAATTAATGTCGATAATATATGTAATTCTTCGTTTTATAGTTTTTTATTACAATAAAATAAAAATTCTATTTAAATATAAATATAATATTTTAACAAAATGTAATTGATTTTATTTTTCATTATGAATTATTTTATGATATTATATTTTTTAATTAGTAATTGAAATAAAAATTATATATAATTTGTAATTAAAAAATAAAATTTATTTTAAAATATTTTTAATAATTTTAAAAATTAATTACTTTAAATTTAATTATTTTTTATCTCTGATTTATATTTATTTTTAATAAATTTTAAATAAGAATATTTTAGTAATTTATTAAATTATTTATTATTTCAAATCAATTACAATTTTTTTCTTCTTTTTTTTACTTTTTACTTTTATTTTGATATTAAAAAAATCTTATATTCTATGTTTTTTTATTCCCTTAAATTTATCCCTTTAATTCAAACACAAATTTTAAATTCTCTGAATATGATACATAACACCAAGATCATATTATTAATAAATAATAAAAAATATAAAATTAATATTATAAACATATATTTATATAAAAAATATATTTAATAAATCATTAAATTTAAATACTAAAATCATATAAATACAAATATAAATTATAAAAATTTAAAAATTTATCCTCACCTTCTAAAAGTTCTATCTACCACTAGTTAGTACAATGTATTGATTTCATTTTTTTAAAAGAAAGGCAATTTCTACATTTATTTAGATGTCTTACTACTAAGTATATATTTGAGTTAAATACAAATATATAATGTATAACGAATTCAAATATATTTTTAATAAAAAATATTGATAAGAGTAACGTAGTAGAAACAAATATGCATAGACCAAAATCAAATTGATTCATAGACTAGGAAACACTGAATTTGTACCCTTTCTGTCGCTATGTTTGGTTGTCATATCAAACACAAACTTTGAGACGCAAAAGCAAGCATTGATTAGGATAAGAATAAGACAGTGAAAATAACCACTATATGAGATTCTCCACGTGAATAATATACACTGGGATAGTACAAAACAATAATAATTCAAAATATTTTAAACATTAAATTTATTTAATGTATTATACATTATATTAGATTTTCCTATCTGAACTTGTGGAGTGGTATAAGTGTCATCAAACAGTGTGTTGTTGGAAATTTGGCAGGAGTTGTGAGAAACGTGGCTTTAATGCCCTCAAAATTTCAACCTCACAATCCCTTTTCCTGTGGAAGTTACGAGCGACCGAAAATGTCCACAAGCAATGTAGCGTTTTTAGATAATAGTGGAATCCAATCCAATTTAAGGTATATGGAGGCATGGGACCCATTCATCCCTATGTGAAAGGGACACTGGGATCCCCAACGACTCCCTTGCTTCTCTCACCATTAACAAAACAAACGTCAATTTATGTCCTTGCCCATTTCACACTACATTATTTTAAATATATATATATATATATATATATATATATATATAAAATTTTTAAATTTAAGTTCAATCAAACATGTTACCAAGGATACATTGGTTAGAAAATAGAGATACAATATGCAAACACGAGTGTCAATTGAATATTTTTTGTTTCCCGTGAACTTTAAAATTTAAGATAATAATTGAAGTTGTGTTGCTAATTTTTTTTTTTTAAGTTAGTTTTTGGATCGTTCGAAAGAAAAATAAAAATAACTACAAAATTAAAGACAAAAATGTAACGTATATATTTATCACTTTCAGAGCGGCATAAAATATATACACTTTCAGAAAAAATAAAAAATAATTAAGAAATTAAGGAAAAAGAAAAGTATTATATTATTTTTAATGTAATGTATATGTTTATTTTCTAAATAAAATAAAATATATTATTTTATAAAATTATTTTTATTTAAATAAATGATTATTTAATTTTATATTTTTAATTTTAATTTATATAATTATTATTTTAATAAAATATCAACAAAATAAAAATAATTATAAAAATCAAATGAATAATTTAATATTTTGTTAATATGATGTTATTTTATTAGTTTAAACTTAAATATTTTAAAAATATAATAAAAATATTTTATAATTATATATCAAAGTATATGTTATTAAAAGACACATATATTAATTCAAAGGTATTAATTTAAAATTTTATTTTATTAATAAAAATAATAATTAATAATCATATAAATAATTTTATTATTGAACAAATATTTAATTTTAATTTTAATTTAATTATTATTTTTAAAGTAAATATTTTACTTTATTTATGTGTCAAATAAATATGAATATTTTTTAATTTCTTTTTTATTTTGTTTCCTCACTACCAAAACAATGAAATTTAGTATTTACAAGAACAGATATTTTGCTTCTCTTTATTATCATTATCATGGTGAGTTTCTTGAGATTACATAAGAATTACTGCTGTGCTTAGATGTAATTGAACAATTATATTCCAAAATTAATGTAAATAGATTTTTTACCATGAGCACTTGATATCTTCATTAAATAATTATAATGGAACATAATATATTTAGATTCTACACCAACTTTAATTCATTCCGTTTTAGATTAATGGTTACTTAGTTTATCAAAGTTTAATTTAATGTTTCATTAGTTGAATGTTTATAGAATAGAAAAATAAATAGATAAAGACATTAAAAAATATTAAGGCATATAAATTACTAGAGTTTTAGTTTAATTTAATTTACCTCCTTAATTTATTTTATTTTCTACCTTAAAAATATTTATTAATAAATTAAAATTAAATTAATTCTTATGATGTATATATACTTAAAAAAAAGTCGGATTTGACTGCAGGTAGAGTTTATTCTTAAAACCCAGATGAATCCAAACCCTTTGTTTATCTAGTCAATTAAAAAGAAATAAAAAAATATTCTTTTATAATTTCATTTCGTGAAACTATTTTTAACTCTATTTATTTTCTTTACAGTTAAAAATATCATCAGTATATTTAGACTTTTTTTCATAAATAATACTGTTTTCAAAAATATTTACCAAAATAGCACCTCTGCAACTTTATTTACACAACTAGCACTGTTTACTGTTCACGTAATAAAATAATATTATTTCGTGCAACTATTTACTGTTCACGTATTAAAATAATATTATTTAGCGTACTGAACTCTCGCTCAAGCGAAGGCGAAGAAAACCTTCGCTTGAGCGAGGAAATCTATAACAAAGGGGTAGTCTGGGGTAAATTCTCGCTCAAGCGAAGAAACCCTCGCTTGAGCGAAAAGTATTATCGATTATTATCCAATTATAGTCGATCATTTTGACATATATGACTTTAGATAGCGGTTATTTGGCCAACCGCTATCTAAACTACTACATTAGAAAGCGGTTAAAGCCTAACCGCTATCTAATATATATTTTTAAAAGCGGTTGTTCTCAACCGCTATCTAAGGTGACTCAAGCGAAAATCACATCGCTTGAGCGAGGACACCTGGAAAAATGGGGGATTCTCGTTATATCCACCAATGCATTGGTCAGAACTACCTTCATTTTGTGACATTCTCTTCTTCACCATCGTCGACCACTGTTGGACCTTCGAAGCATCTCTCCCGGATACGGAAGCCTCCTCCGTGGATGACTCCCATTTTCTGTTACAATCGACCTTCCTCAATATCCAGAGCTTTCTTTCCGCCCTTGATCTTGAAGGCTCTGGACCCATTTCTTAATTTGGAGGTTGCTCTCGTATTTTAGGGCGTCAAATTTGATGGCACTTTTATTAGATTGAGAAAAAGCCACTGGAGCTCTCCTCCACTTCTTAGCAATCCCCGATTGACATTTTCAAGATTACCATTGGACAAGATTACCATTGGACAAGCAAAACTGTTTTTAAAGAGAAATTTCAAATCTGCTGCATTAATTAATCTGTTGAAAGTTTGTTTTAATCTGTTGAAATAGCCATTATAATCTGTTAAAAGTCCTTTCAACCCATTAATGCGTTCTTGTTTCTTTAACAGAATGTTTTTAGTTGATACAACCATGTTTATATCAGTTAAAACATTTTCTGAGTGATTCAATCGATTGATTCACGTTTTAATCGATTGATTTGCTTTAAAACTTTCTTATACAACTTTTCAAGTTATTTTAACTGATACAAAGAAGTTTTAGTCGATTAAAAACCTGCACAGAATTTTTCTAAGTTGTTTTAATCGGTTGAAACGCATTTTAATCGATTGAAACTCTGTACAAAGATTTTCCAAGTTATTTTAATCGATTGAAATGCGTTTTAATCGATTGAAACTCTGTACAAAAATTTTCAAGTCATTTTAATCGATTGAAATTCGTTTTAATCGATTGAAATAGGTCTGATCGGTCATAATTCAATTCTGATCGATCATAACCAACTCTGATCGGTCATAATTTCATTCTGATCGATCATCCTGACTTCCAAAGTGGTTTTAATCGATTAAAAGAAGTTTGTATCGATTAAAATACTGTAAAAACACTTCTTTAAACATTCTAAGTGATTTTAATCGTTTCTTTTAAAACTATATCAGTTAAAAACATTATTAAGAAAGTTCTTTGTCAAAATGCTTTTGTTTTTGATTTGTTTAAAACTATTTTTGAGGCATTTTGCAAAATTATGAAGAAACTTTATGCAGCAGAAAAGGTAAAATGGTTTTACCTAAACTTTCTGTTAAGACACACTAAATCTTCAGCTCAATTATCTGGGTGACTTGTTGACTGCTGCAGAGTTGACTTTTGACTTTATCTTTGACTTCATCAAAGCAATGAGATCTTTGCTAGTATCACTTTCAGTATATGACTTTAGATAGCGGTTATTTGGCCAACCGCTATCTAAACTACTACATAAGAAAGCGGTTAAAGCCTAACCGCTATCTAATATATATTTTTAAAAGCGGTTGTTATCAACCGCTATCTAAGGTGACTCAAGCGAAAATCACATCGCTTGAGCGAAGACACCTGGAAAAATGGGGGATGAAGAAGCCTTTAAACAAGGGGGACTCTCGGGTTCTGTTTCGCTCGAGCGACGCGTAGCGATGTGTTTTTCGCTTGAGTCACCTTAGATAGCGATTGATAACAACCGCTTTTAAAAATATTATATTAGATAGCGGTTAGGCTTTAACCGCTTTCTAATGTAGTAGTTTAGATAGCGGTTGGCCAAATAACCGCTATCTAAAGTCATATATGTCAAAGTGATCGACTATAATTGGATAATAATCGATAATACTTTTCGCTCAAGCGAGGGTTTCTTCGCTTGAGCGAGAATTTACCCCAGACTACCCCTTTGTTATAGATTTCCTCGCTCAAGCGAAGGTTTTCTTCGCTTGAGCGAGAGTTCAGTACGCGAAATAATATTATTTTAATACGTGAACAGTAAACAGTTGCACGAAATAATATTATTTTATTATGTAAATAGTAAACAGTGTTAGTTGTGTAAATAAAGTTGGAGGAAGTACTATTTTGGTAAATATTTTTAAAACAGTCGTATATTTGATCTTTTACCGTAAGGACATGGTTTAGACATGCACGTACTATTGTTTGTGTCGTGTTTATCCTCCGCCCAACACTTGCGCAGCAAGGAAAGACCACACCAAGTCAGGGTCAAAACGGTCAAAATCAGTGGCATTTCTGTAAATCTTCTCAAAACAAGGGCCATTTTGTCAACCTCAATCCTATATAAACAAATCCATCGTCGCACTCTCCACACAGCACAGCACAGCACAATCCAAGGCATAATTTATCTTCGGGTCTAAGAGCTTCTTTGTTCTCTCACTCCTCACCCTTCTCTTCTTCGTTGAACTGAGAAAACAGAAATGGCAGGTGCAAGAGCTAGTGGCATGAACAATGGAAGAAGCATCCCAAGGAGGTTCTCTGGGCGTCCAATTCCAAAGCGGGGACAAGTCAAAGTTGGAATTGTTGTGGGCCTTGCAAACTCTGTTGCTTCCATCTTCTCTCGCAACAGAGCCAGAGGCTCCGCTACACTTTCTCACCTCGCACACTAGCTTTCAACCCTATGAACTACCAAAATTTTGATCCTTTTGTTTATGTACAAATTGGGGTCTTTTTATTCCCTTATCATATGTTCATATGTAAATCTCTTGCGTTCTTCTTAATCAAATCAATCCAATCGTTCCTCGTTTATCTCCTTCTGAGTTAAATTTTAGTTCCATCTGCAACTATGGATAAATTTTACATTCTCAAAGCTACCCAAAGCAATTTAATTTTAAGATAGCCAATCATAGATTAACGTATTCACAACTTCATTTCAAAAAATTAATATTTTTTAAAATTATTTTATACTATACAGTATCATTACCATATATGTATTTTTCTGAAAAATGAAATCTAAAACTGGAAGAAGTTAAAAAAATAAATAAAAAATATCAGTACTGAATCGTACATCGAAATCTTCTACATTTTTTTAAAATCCGTATACGATTATCTAGTTTTAAAATGACAAATCATCAAAGTACATAAACCTGTACCGCATACGGTTTGTCTCAAAATGTAGACAATGGAATTCTTAATCTTAGATAATTATATGCACAATTCTTCTTGATTATAACAAATTACTAACGTTGGATCAAAGGAACGAGCTTCACCAAAAAATGTTTGGGATGATTTATTTAACAATTGTTTCCTTTTCAGATTTTCTAGAGGCAGAAAAATGGTCATGTCAAACTGTGGTCACATTAGAATTAGCAAAGCGACAAATAACAAGTGGTTTTAAATATAATTGTAGTCAATAATTGTGATTAAGAATGAGTTTAACAACTGTCACTTTCATTTGTGCTGTTACAATCTTACTGCTAGTAGTGTTTTTTTATTCTTCGAATATATTGCTCCCTCAACACAATCCAACACGATCTTAAACCAACCTATTTGAATATTAATATTTTCAGTGCATTGTATCAAAAGCTTCTACTTTGCAAGATTCAGAGCACCGCAATTAATCTTTGAATACAAATCAGCAAATCCACGCATCCTTTTTAATAGCCTCCTTTTTCTTTCAGTAACTAACTTTCAGATCCTATTATATCCAAAAAAGTCACCTTAATAACCTCAAAGTAATGAGTAACTTAATTACACGTGGTCATAATTTCTTATCACTATACAAAAAAAAAACTCAAATAAGAGTTTATCTTTTTTATAGTAAAATAAATTAAATTTTACCAGTCCTTCAATTTAATTTGACCTGTTCTGTTTAATTCATCGTATTAAAAAAATAAATATAAAATGACATGAAATAACTCAAAAATTATCTTTTAACAAATATTTATATATTAAAATAAAAATAAAAATATTATAATTAAAATATTATATATTTTTTATATTATTAAAATATATAAATATACTATAATATTATAATTTAAATTATAAAAATTAATTAATTAAATTTAAATTATTAATTATAACTAGTTATTTTAACATATAAATAATTTTTTAAATTTATCTAAAAAATATTAATTAATAAATAAAAATTTAAAATTTATTCATATAATTAAATATATATTTTAATATATATATATATATATATAATTTATATATATATATATATATATAAAATATATTAATATAGTGAGTCATTGATTTACCTTTATAAAATGGGTTGACATCTATAACTTCTCCTATTTTATTTTAACATAGATAATTGTTAACATTTTATTGTTCATATTTTGATTTTTTTATAAGAAATAGAATAGAGTTGAAATTAGTGAGAGGTAAGAAATTGAGGTGAGGTGGGTTGCATATGGAGGCATTAGGTTTGGTTTGGATCATGAAGTAATGAAATAATGGGTAGTGGAAGGTGGGACAATGAGGTAGCTAAGCGACAAAATGACACCTAAAAGGGTTTGGAGTCTCCAAGATCAGAATCGTTTTTCTGCATTTTCTAATTGAAAGAATCGTGCACGTGATTTTTATGCAATGCAATAAATAAACCTTTATGCTTATCTTATTCTTAACCTCCCCAAATTAAATTACTTTTTTAATCACGCGCAGCCTGGTGTGGGCTTTTAAATATTGTGGGACCAGGTTCATCTTGTCGTCTTCCATGGAACCATTTCTTCTCCTGCAAGTTTTTTTCTTCTTTTTAATCACATTCTTTGAACAATGATACAAGCACGTTCTTTTTCTTTTCATTTTCTTTCACTCCACATTAGTAATTAATACATGTCACAGAACTCTATAAAATATTAATCACAACAAAGATTGTAAATTTATTACTAATAAATATGTTTTAAGAATTTATAATAACAATCAATTCAATTATAAAGAATGGTTTTTTGGTTACTTGCTGATGAATGTTGTTGACTATTTGCCCTTTCTCTTTTTCCCCCATACACATGTGTTGGCCTTTGTTAAACATTCAAAGTGCAGAGGATATGTTCCAGTTAACAACTGTTGACTATGGACTTTCCCTTCTTACTCTCTGTACAATTCAAAGCCGTGGTAATGGTAATAGTTGACTGTTGACCTTATTATAGAATATGAACAAGCAACACTTATTACGATTTATTGTTAATAAAAAAATCCAAAAAATCTTAAATTAAATTATGTTAATAAAGTATTCTTACCTTTCAATAAGAAAGTATTATATATTGACTATTTTAGTTCTTTAATCAATGCTTTATATATAACAAATGGAGATGAATAATAAAAGTTATTAACCATTAGAATGGAACTTAAACTTGATAAAATAAAATAAATAAGAAAAAAGTCTTTCAATTTTGTTGACGGTGACTAATTGATTTTCCTTTGTTTGGACAAATAAGGTGAAGATGGAGATGGTGAACGATAAAAACGACAAGGGGTAGTTTGACTAAAATGTTCATGCGTCAATATCAAACGAAGAAAAAGAGGTGCTCCACTATCCCACGTAACAAGGAAAAAGTTAAGTATGTAAGTGAGAACAAAAGGAAGGTCAAAATCGTCAACAAACCGCCAATGATTCTAAACCCACGACCACAAAGGAGTATCATAAATTGAAAAGGAAACAACCAAAAGATATAAAGAAGGGGTATTTTTGTAAGCAAACATCACTTGGCCTCTATATAAGTGAAACTTTTAAGAATTGTTAGTGACAACCTCGATAAGGTTTGTGTTGTGTGGTTGTGTTTATTCTTGTGGGCAAAGAGGTTAGACAAGAAGGGCAAAGTAAGAAAAGGAGGGCATAGATGGGTGTGCATGTGGTGGTGATTAAGAGAAGGGATTTGATCAACAAGAATTATTTGTCCAACAACACTCATATTTCTGGTCGTTTGATCCCCAAGAGGGGCCAAGTGAAGTTGGGAATTGTTGTGGGCTTGTTTCATACTGTATCCTCTCTTTTCTCCTCCATTACTACACGATGTGTTCATTTATCTTGATTTTTTTTTTTTTAATTTCAAATAGTTTTCTTGACCATTATGGAAGAATTGTTAGAAGATAGGATTGTTTTCTCCATCCAATCATTTGATTGCTCTAAGTTCTATAACTTGTAGTTATGTTGGGTAAATTTTGTTTTATCTTGAGAAATGTTTTTATCCTAATTTTAGATGAAATGTTTTTGAGAAATGTTCATATTCATATTCATATGGTAAAATCCCCCACAAGCAATACAACTCTAAAAATTTAGCTTTCCATCAATTAATCTTGATAAGGTTGTTTGGAGGGGAAGCTAGTTATTAGCAGTATCAACATAAAAAGTAGGAGATTTATTAAGAAAACGTTTAAACATGGATATAGATATTTCAAAAGAGATACCTCCCTTGAAATTTGATGAACAATGTGAATAGATGATAAGTGCTTGTTGGAGAAAAAAATCCTCATTCCTATTCCTCCATATTCCCTCCATAGTTGAAAGATTGTAACTCCAAATATAATAGGTAAGTTATCGATGGTATCATTTGATCCTTTAATTAAATTAAGGATAATTAATCTCTAAAATTCCAGCGAAGAAAGAGGGAGAAAGATAATTGTTGGTTAAAATTTGCAAAACTTTTTTAACAAGCAGCATCCTCTCATGTGAACATGATTTAGATTTCATCATGTATAGAGGAAAAATATAGAAGAGAGATATTCCTTTTGACGTTGCTATTTTCATTTGTTAATGAAGCCTTATATGTAAAACATTATGTAGTTTTCCTACGTTCTTAATTCATTATAGAAAACTACTCTACAGGATCTTTAGATTATTGATTTTCACAATTTTACATACATCAATACATGAATCATAGTAAGAAGACTAACCTTGATCCATGAGAATTTTTTCTTTGATCTTTTCGTTCTCCTATCTCCTTTTCCCAATCTATCTCTTTGCCTTTCTTTCTCTTCTCACGCTTCGCTTTCTTGATGGTTTACCGTGAAAAAACCTTATGACCAGAGACAGAACCCTTATTCCATTTTATTAACCAACGTCCATCAAGTTGGTTACCGTAATGTAATATTTTATTTTATCTTTATTTTATTCTAACTTCACATAATAACCAATAGGTCCTCATATTTTATTAAATCACATTTGGACCCATTATAATATTTCACATGAGTCACATAATGGAATGAATTAATTAAATTAATTCTAACATTCTCCCACTTGACTCATGTGATGTCATACGATTCCGTGATTTAATACTTAAGTCATAATGCGCATTAAAGGACCTTACATAAATTGGTTCTATCATTATTCATAATTAAAGATACGGTTATAACAAGAGTCATGGCGGTTACATGTCATTCAATCGACAGGCTCCCTTCCATGTACCACTATATTATCTCTTTCTCCTTAATATGACTTTATAATGAGAAGTCCATAATGGGTTCAAACATAATATCATTTTAAAAATAATAACATAATTTGTTTTCTTCATCATAATTTGCATGCATATAAATAAAGAAGAAAACACAAATTTCAGAAACTTATACGTTAAAGATCTCAGAGTGTCACATAAGCATTAATAATAACGTTAATATTCAACATTCACTAGTGAACATAATGCCCACATTCATTATATGGCCAACAAATAATTTGGGCGATAATCCCTTTGTTAAAGGATCAACAATCATAAGATCAGTGCTAGTATGTTCTATTGACACTCTTCGTTTCTAAACTTCTTCTTTAACGGCAAAGTATTTCAATTCCATATGCTTAGCACCTTTGGAATACTTATCGTTCTTAGAAAAGAAGACTGCTGCGGAATTGTCACAATAAATTTTCAGCGGCTTGGCAATGTTGTCGACTACTCCAAGTCCTGAAATAAAATTCCGCAACTAATTAGCTTGAACTGTGGCATCAAAGCATGCCACAAATTCAACTTCCATGGTGGATGCAGCAATGACAGACTGCTTCGCACTTTTCCATGAAATCGCTCCTCCGCCTAAAAGATACACATAACCAAATGTAGACTTTCGTGTATCCATACAACCAGCAAAATCTGAATCTGTATATTCAATCACCTCAAGGTGATCAACTTTCCTATAAGTAAGCATGTCATTATTTGTTCCTTGTAAGTATCTTAAGACTTTCTTTGCAGTCTTCCAATGATCCAATCCAGGATTACTCTGGTATCTACCCAGCATACCAACTGCAAAGCTAATATCTGGCCTCGTACATGTTTGAGCATACATCAAACTCCCAACAATAGATGCATAAGGGATATTTTCCATCTGTTTCCATTCCAATTCATTCTTTGGACATTGCATGAGACTATATTTGTCTCCTTTCTGTATTGGAACGAGAGATGCAAAACAATTCTCCATTCTGAATCTCTCTAAAACTTTATTAATATATGCTTTCTGAGACAAACCTAACATTCCTTGTGATCTATCACGGAATATTTCTATTCCTATCACATAGTATGCCTCACCCATATCTTTCATTTCAAAGTTGTTAGAGAGAAACTTCTTAGTCTCACTTAATAGACCAAGATCATTAGTCGCAAGCAAGATATCATCAACATACAGAATCAGAAATATAAACTTACTCCCACTGACCTTCAGATATATGCACCGATCAATAGTGTTTTCCTTAAATCCAAAGGACAAAATAGTATCATTGAACTTAAGATACCATTGTCGAGAAGCTTGTTTAAGTCCATATATTGATTTCTTAAGTTTACACACCATATGTTCCTTTCCTTCTTCAATAAACCCCACTGGTTGATTCATATAAACATCCTCCTCTAAATTTCCATTCAGAAAAGCAGTTTTAACATCCATTTGATGCAAGTCAAGATCATAATGAGCTACTAATGCCATGATAATTCTAAAGAAATCTTTCTTAGAAACAGGTGAAAATGTTTCCTTATAATCAATGCCGTCTTTCTGAGTAAAACCTTTGGCAACAAGTCGGGCCTTGTAACGTTCGATATTGCCATGAGAGTCACGCTTAGTCTTAAAGACCCATTTACACCCAACACTCTTACATCCTTACGGCAATTCCACAAGATCCCATACACCATTATATGTCATTGATTTAAGCTCATCTTTCATAGCATCTAACCATTTATCAGAATTATCACCATTAATGGCATCTAAAAATGAAACTGGTTCATTATCAATACTTATGTCATTTTCTGACTCTTGTAGATAAACCACATAATCATTCGAAATAACAGACTTTCTTTCTCTGTGAGATCTTCTTAATACTATTTTCTGTGGTTGTTCTATTATCGATCATTGTTAATCGCAGGATCATTAATTTGTTGTTCTTCTTGATTGTCGTGTGATTCTACAACATTTGGAACAACAACTCTTGAAGATGTACTAGTTATTGGAACTTGTACTCTAACTTCCTTAATCTCCACATTTCGTGAAGCTTCACTCCCACTGGCTTCACCATTTTCAATGAACCGAGCATTTCCAGTTTCAACAATTCTTGTACTATGGGTAGGACAGTAAAACATATACCCTTTTGATTTTTCTAGATAACCAATGAAATATCCACTGATTGTTCTTGCATCCAATTTCTTTTCTTGCGGATTATAAATTCTTACTTCTGCCTGACAACCCTAAACATGTAGGTGTCTCATACTGGGTTTCCTACTTGTCCATAACTCAAAAGGAGTCTTTTGAACCGCTTTACTAGGAACCCTGTTCAACAAATACATGGCAGTCTTCAAAGTATACATCCACAACGATACAGGTAAACATAAATTACTTAACATACTCCTAACCATATCAAATCATAGAAGTACGCTTAAACAAACTGAAACAATCATTCCCAAACTTAAAAGAGTATCCAGCAACATCAAGCTTAGACAAAGAAACTAAATTTCTAATGATACTAGGTACATAAAAAGTATCCATAAGGTCTAAGTGAGATCCAGTATCAAGGATTAAACGATAAGTCCCGACAGCTTCTACTGGAACCTTGACTTTATTTCCCATGAAGACGAACTTCTCATTTGGGTGTATGGTTCGGGTTGAAAGGAATCCTTGCATTACATTAGAAACATGAGTCGTACATCCATAATTAATCCACCAAGTATTATGGAGAACTTCAGTTAAATTTGATTCAAAACATACATAAGCATTATGCTCACCTTTCTTTTCGAACCAAGCTTTGCGCTTTAAGCAGTCCTTCTGAAAATGTCCAGACTTCCCGCAGAAATGACATTTGTCATTTTTCTTATGAATGTTAGTAGATGACTCGTTAATCTTTAATGGTCCTTTACCCTTTCTATGTTTCTTAACAACTTTCTTTTTAACTCCTTGATTTTTCACGTAATGAATAGAGTGACTTCCTAGGTTCTTGAGTCTGGTCTCCTCTTAGACTAACATATTGTGCAATTCATGAACATTTCATTTGTCTTTCATGGTGTTATAATTCATCTGGAACGAACCATACTCAGATGGTAACGAGTTCAAAATGAACTGCACAAGAAAATTTTCTTCCACTGCCATTCCAAGAGACTTGAGTCTTGCTACGATATTTGTCATTTCGATTACGTGTTCATGCATACTACGAGAACCATCAAACTTCATGGTGGTCAACGTACTCATCAATGTCCCAGCGAGGGATTTGTCAGCAGTTTGAGAACGCTCTTTCACAAATTTCATAAATATTTTCACGTCCTTAGTTTTGGAAAAAACATACTTAATATTGCTTGCAATACTCATTCGCATAAACATAAGACTAAGTCTATTTGAACTTTTCCAAACTCTATAATGAGTTTTCTCTTTGTTGCTTACTAGCATTAGTGATAGCAACTAGGTTTTTCAACTTAGAAAGCCAAATCAAAATCCAACTCACCTAAGTGAAATTGGACTTTCTTACTCCGATCGGGAATTTAATTTATTAAAGGCTGGAACAGAGCGAAGTAAGCGAATGTAGAAATACATAATAAACAAATACTTCAATTAACACATGCCTAACATTAACGCTTTGAGTCATAAAAACTAAACATAAATACAGATTCAAACATAAATAACCATTCTATGCATACTAATGTTCTCCTTTGGGAGATCCACTAATACACAAACATAATTACGCTAATCTTTTTATAACTTTAATGATA